CTGCTGCTGCTGCTGCTGCTGCTGCTGCTAGTGCTGCTGCTGCTGCTAGTGCTGCTGCTGCTGCTAGTGCTGCTGCTGCTGCTAATCCCGTAGCTAGTGATGCTCCTCTTGCTGCTCTTTTTGCTGCTGATACGGGTTTTGGTGGTGGTGCTGCTGCAGCTGGTGCTGCTGCTTCTCCTGCTGCTGCGTTACTGCTGCTGCATTTGCTGCTGCTGCTGCTGCTGCTGCTACTATGCTGCATCTTCCACTCCATTTGCTGCTGGTCTTGCACTTTCTTTTGCTGTTGTTTTTGCTGCTGCTATTACTGCTGCTGCTATTGCTGCTACTGATGTTATGACTGTCTATCTTTGCTGCTGCTACTGCTGCTGCTGCTATTGCTGCTGCTTCTACTATTGCTGCTGCTTCGACTATTCCTGCCGCTGCTGCTATTGCTGCTGCTTCTACTATTCCTGCTGCTTCTACTATTCCTGCTGCTTCTACTATTGCTGCTGCTTCTACTATTCCTGCTGCTTCTACTACTGCTGCTACTGCTGCTGCTTCTACTGCTGCTGCTGCTGCTGCTGCTGCTGGTATTGCTGTTGCTGCAGCATACGGGCATCGTAGTGGTTTATATTTGGAGCTGACAGTTTATGCAGCAGAAGAAGAAGCATCGTTAGGCTGCTGCATTACTTCTGAAGGTCTGTTAGTCTTGCGAGCACTCAACAGCACCCCTATTTCTTTTTGCATGCCCTCTATACACTGCAGCAGCAGCAGCAAAAGTAAAGAGAAAGGAAGAGAGACACCCTTCATGATTCCTCTCTCACCAGAAACTCCAGCAGCAGCAGCAGCAGCAGCAGCAGCAGCAGCAGCAGCAGCAGCAGCGAGAACAGCAAAGGCAGCTGATGCAGACTCAAACGGAGCAGCAGCAGCAGCAAAAGAAAATGCAGCAGCAGCAGAAACAGAAGGAGGGAAGAGATATGCTAATGGAGGAGGCGTCAAACCACCTGCTGCTGCTGCTGCTGCTGAGGAGACAGCAGCCTGCAGCAGAAGCAGCAGCAGCTGCAGCAAACCCATCCATCTCTTCTATACACTGCATGTGTACGCTGTATTTTAAAGACACAGACAAAAGGAGACAGAGACAAAGCAAAAAGAAGAGAGACAAATAGCAGCAGATAGAGACACAAGGAGACAGCAGCAGCAGCAGCAGCAACAGCAACAGCAGCAGCGACAGTTGACAAAAGGAGACACAAAATAAAAAATTAATATTGATGCAGACTGTCTCCTCTTCTGTCTCTTTCTCTGTCTCCTTCTGTCTTCTTCGCTGTCTCTTTTGTCTCTCTGTCTCTGTCTCTGCCTCTGTCTCCTTCTGTCTCTGTCTCTGTCTCTGTCTCCTTAACTGTCTCTGTCTCTGTCTCTGTCTCTGTCTCCTTCTGTCTCCTTCGCTGCCTCTGTCTCTATCTCTGTCTCTGTCTCTGTTTCTTTTAATCTCTCTGTCTCTGTCTCTGTCTCTTTTTATTTCTACTGTCTCCTTTTTAATCTTTATTTTGTGTGCTTGATAATTCTTTTGTTTTTTCTTTATATTTGCAGAGATCAGCCAGGTGTACTGGCAGCTGTTCTTTGTCTCCTTTCGTCTGCAAATATAAATGTAGCGAACTGTCACTTAGGACGTCGCGCTGCGCCTCTTGCTGTCTCCCCAGCAGCAGTATCAGCAGCAGCAGCAGCAGCAGCAGCAGCAGGAGCAGCAGCAGCAGCAGCAGGAGAGGCCCCTTGCGTCTCCTCTCAACCAGCAGCAGCACCAGCAGCACCAGAAGCAGGATCAGCAGCAGCAGCAGCAGCAGCAGCAGCAGCAGCAGGAGACAGTGAAGTATTAGGTTTATGTATATTTCAAACAGACAGCCAAGTAGACGAAGAGACGATGAAAAAGATTAAACAGCTCCCCTTCATCAGAGACGCAAAAATATTTGCTACTCCGTGCACTCTAGGACAGACCAAACGCTTCTAGAAAGCTACTCTGCTGCTGCTGCTGCTGCTGCTGCTGCTTGTGCTGCTGCTGCTGTTTGTGCTGTTGCTGGTAGTGCTGGCGCTGGTGTTGCTGGTGCTTCTGGTGCGGCTATTGGTGATGCTGCTGCAGCAGCAGCAGCAGCAGCAGCAGGGAGGACCCAGGAACACCAGCAGCAGCAGAAGCAGCAGACGATCAAGCAGCAGCAGCAGAAGCAAGCAAGCAGCGCGAGCAGCAGCAGCAGCAAGAGCGACCGAAAGGAGCAGCAAATGGGGCAGCTGCTGCTGCTTGTTCGAGTTGAAAGCAGCAACAGAACAGCAGCAGCAGCAGTTGCTGCTGCTGCAGCTGAGGGCACCTGAGGTGTACATACACCTCACCGCTTGTCTCTTTTTATATATTTTTATAAAACAAACAAACAAACAAAATATTGTGGAAGCAAACAGAGAAGGAAATGCAGTGTCTAGGCATAGGAAGGCCTTGAGGAGCCCAATACAATGATTAAACCCTAAACCCTAAACCCTAAACCCTAAACCCTAAACTCCTCTATATATACATATATATCTGTAAGCAGAATAAATGCTGAGCCGACGCATGCACAGTGAGTATATTACTAGTATTTAAGAACAATAATTTATTTAAATATAAATATAAATATAAATAATAATATTAATATTGTTATTATTATTAATTTATTATTAATAGTAATATTCTGCATGCACAAAGAAATACAAGAAAAGTTTTGGCTGCATAGCGGTTGCTTCACTCTGCTGCAGGTCTGCGCAGAAAAGTATTAATATAAATATAATTTAAAGACATTAATATAATATAATATAATTTATTTATTTATTTTTATTTAATTTAAATATATTTACTTTGTTTGTACAGAAAAAAATAAAATTGCTATGCACCGGGCCCCTCAAAGGCAGCTGCAGCAGCAAGACAGCGTTGGTTTGAACGCAGAATTAATAATATTATTTTATTTATTTATTTATTTATTTATTTAAATTTAATTTTAAATTATTTATATTAAAATGAGAGGCAAAACTACAAGACAGACGGCGATACGATGAGGCGATATCCAGAACCCCCCTAAACCCTAAACCCTAAACCCTAAACCCTAAACCCTAAACCCTAAACCCTGAACCCTAAACCATCAATGAATAAGCCTTGTTTTCTCAACACCCGGCAGTCAGAGCAGCGGTACTTGCAGCCGCACTTGCGGCTGTTGCTGTTTCTGCTGCTGCTGCTGCTGGAGCTCCGTTATACTGCTGCTGCTGCTATAGCTCCTGCTGCTGCAGCTCCTGCTGCTGCAGCTCCTGCTGCTGCTACTGCTGCAGGCCGCACGCTGCTAGGAAGCTATTTGCTATATGGAAGCCCCTGCGGGTCTGCCTGTGCTGCAGCTGCAGCAGCAGCACCTTCGAGAGCAGCAGCAGCAACAGCAGCAGCAGCAGCAAAAGCAGCAGCAGCAGCAGCAGCAACAGCAGCAGCAGCAAGCGCCACTCCATCTGCTGGCTTGATGCATATTTTGGGGTCTCCTAAATCTCTCGCCTTCACCCTTCTTGCAAGCAGCAGCAACGCCAGCAGCAGCAACAACAGCACGAGAAGCAGCAGCAACAGCAGCAGCATCAACGGCAGCCGTAGCAGCAGCATTAACAGCAACAGCAGCAGCAGGAGCAGCAGACGCTTTGGATTTTTGCAGCGCAGTCCCGAGGTGAGGCCAGCAGCCATTCGTGCGGCTGCTGCGGCTGCTGCTGCTGCTGCTGCTGCTGCTGCTGCTAGGGAGTGCTGCCGCCTCAGCGCCAGCATACAGCCGACTACGGGCGACGCGGAGCAGCAGCAGCAGCAGCAACAACAGCAGCAGCAGCAGGAGTTGCTGCAGCAAGACAAGTACAGGATGTTGATCTTCAGTGAGGGTACAGCTGAGGAGAGGCAGAAGTTGTGGGGTGAGTTGCTGCAGCAGCAGCAGCAGCAGCAGTGCAGCACGGGTCTTGTAGGTATGCAGAGCGGCTCGTTGAGTGCAGCAGCAGCAACAGCAGCAGAAGCAGCAACAGCAGCAGCAGGAGACCAGCAGCGTCTCCGTGGATATGCAATAGAAGACGAAGATTTTGTTGCTGCTATGCCTCCCGGTCTGCCTGCCCTTCCTGCTGAGTCTCTGCAGCAGCAGCAGGAGCAGCAAGACCCGCAGCAGCTGCAGCAGCAGCAGCAGCAGCGGCAGCAGCAGCTTATTGAAGAGCTCAAACGAGGAGAGAGACAGCATATTGTCCCCAGAGGACTGCTGCCTCGAATGAATATCAACCAACTAAGTGCGTCGCCCCCTGCTTCTCTCGTGGCTAGCTAGCTAGCTGTAGAGTAGCTAGCTAGCTAGCTGTAGAGTAGCTAGCTAGCTAGCTGTATAGTAACTAGCTAGCTAGCTGTATAGTAACTAGCTAGCTAGCTAGCTGTAGAATAGCTAGCTGTGGGGTAGCTAGATGGATAGACATAGACTTATTAGCTAGCTAGATGTAGCCTAGATAGCTAGCTACCTGTAGCCTGTCTAGCTAGCTAGCTAGCTAGCTAAGAGCGGTGCAGCGGCTGCGCCGTGTGCTGTTTAGGGTTTAGGGTCTGAGGGTTTAGGGTTTGGTTTTGTTGTTTGTCTCCGCTTGCTGCATTTATATCTTTTGCAAGCAATGTTGTTTTTGTTTGTTGCTGCTGCTGCTGTGTGCTGTTGCTGCTGCTGTTATTGTGTGCCGCTGCTGCTGCTGCTGCTGCTGTTGGTGCTGCTGCTGCTGTTGCTGTTGCTGCTGCAGTGCTAGCAGCAGAGAAGCGGGTGCTGCCGCATCCACATTTATCTCTGATGATATCTGCTGCTGCTTTTATTATAACTCGCGAGGCTCTCGGCCCCTGCTGTCTCCCCACAGATGCCTTTGTTATTCCTGCCTTAGCAGCAAACCCTACTGCTGCTGCTGCTGCTGCTCCTGCTGCTGCTGGTAGTAGTAGTAGTGGTGATGGTGGTGGTGCAGCAGCAGCAGCAGCAGCAACAGCAGCAACAGCAGCAGCAGCAGCAGCAGCAAAGCCTTATGTTGGGACACCTCTTAAGGACTGGGAGTCTTTCCCGTGGCCGCGGTATCTTGAGGGGCTTCGTCTAGGCGAACAAGTGAGCTGCTGCTGCTGCTGCTGCTGTTGCTGCTGCTGCTGCTGCTGCTGTTGCTGCTTCTGATGCTGCTGTTGCTGCTGGATCACCACACCGGTTCTTAAAATTTTGCTTCTTCATGAGCTTGAGGGTTTAGGGTTTTCAACCTCAAACCGAGGGTTTAGGGTTTAGGGTTTAGGGTTTATGTGCAGATGGAGTCGCTGCGTTACGGGCGCGAGGTGGTTGAGAAAGAAATGCCGGCACTCGCTAAAGCCCTCAAAGACTTGGGTAAGAAGAACGTGGGGTTTAGGGTTTAGGGTTTAGGGTTTAGGGTTTAGGGTTTAGGGTTTAGGGTTTAGGGTTTAGGGTTTGTGTGCGGTTTGTTTGCCGCTGTTAGTCTCTTTTTGTCTCTCTTTCTGTCTCTTCTTTTTATTACTTGTCTCTCCTCATCCTTTTTCATTCTCTTCAATCCGTTTGTTTGTTCGCTGCTGCTGCTGCTGCTGCTACCACTACCATTCCTGCTGCTGCTGCTGCTACTGCTGCTGCTACCGCTCCCACTCCCCCCCTTGCTCTTCCCCCTCATTCCCCTCCTACTACTAATACTGTTGCTGCTGCTGCTGCTGCTGCTGCTGCTGCTGCTGTTGCTGCGCAGACTTTGATTGGAGACAGGGAGCAACAACAGCAGCACGTGTGCAGCGAGAAGCCGAGGAGTTTGAGTTGCTGCTGCTGTCTCTTCCTGTTTATTTGGTGTGTACTGTCTCCTTTTTTGTGTATTTGTTTTATTTGTTTATTTTGTCTGTTGCTGTCTCTTCTTACTCCTTTATACTCTTTTATATTGAGGAGACAGCTTCAGGAGACTCTCCGATACAAATCCTAAACCCTAAACCCTAAACCCTAAGCAGAAGAAAGAGTTAT